TTTCTTAAAACTACCTAAACCAATTAGAGAGTTTGTGGTTGTAGTAATTCATTATTAGATAGATGGTCCTTGTGTTAAAATAACATAAAAGTCCCTGGCTGTGTGTATATATAAATTGGATGAAATATTCAGTTTTTAAAAAAAAGCAATTTTGAAAATATGCAGAGATGTAGCAATTAACCTACATGTACATTTATAATACTAGAAAATGGGTAGCTTATTACATTCAAAGACAGGATCTGATAGGCTCAAATTGCTTAAAACATCAGTTATTGAAGATCTACCCTGGGGAATTTAAGAAACCATTTAACAGATGAAAGTACATTTTGAAAAGTTTGACCTTACAGGCAATCATAAAATGAATGCAAACCGTGCTTCTCCCCCTGAAACTTATAGAGCCCATCTGTGTCTAATCCAGTAATTACAGACCAAGTTCAATTACCTTTTCAAACTTGGAGCAGTCTGGAGACTAAGCAGTGAACAAGCGTGGGGTTTTGTCTAGACCTCCGTTGACCACAGTCTAAAATGGGGATTTATATCTAATTTTATTTATTTTGTTCAGTTTGATAACTCTTAAAAGATTCATTTTGTTACTTAGCTATCAGATCCTGGAAGTCTTTCCTCTCAGTCCCAGGGCCTGCTAATTGCCGGAGTTGTTTGTGACGCTCACACCCCCCAAAAAAAAGAAGGAAAGAAAGAGAGAGAGTTGGGAGTGGGCAGGATAAGGATCTCACTGTTCTCAGACCCTCCTTTTAAATTTGACGTCTTTGGGGAGCAGCCAGAATTTTTATTCCTCAGTTTATGTTCTTTTTAACAGTTCTTTGTTAATAACTGTAGCCTTTAGTGTATATTTCATATTGCATTATGCTTTGAAAGAATTGTTAGCAACAGTTTTCAGATGTACTTTATTATAAACAGTGAGCCCTCTCACTATTTGTAGTTGCTGTTTTATATGGATTTTAGGGCTTTGGGAGGGCGAAATCCTGTAGCTCTTTAGCATTGCGTGGTGCACAGCCTGTGTAGATGATTGGAAGCCATTTGCAGCCGCAGTAACAAGGCTAAATATTCTACCTCCAGAACCGGTTCCACCATTCAGAGTTCATTATTTGCTGGTGGCTAGATACTGGTTACTGAAGCAACATGAAGGGATATTTTTAGCAGAAATAATAACTAAAGTCCATCTGGATACCCTTCAAGGAGATAGGTAAAGGTAAAGATTTCCCTTGCTCGAAAGCCAGTCGAATCCAACTCTAGGGATGCAGTGCTCATTTCCATTTCCAAGCCAAAGAGCCAGCGCTGTCCAAAGACGTTTCCGTGGTCATGTGGCCGGCATGACTAAACGCCAAAGCTCACAGAACGCTGTTACCTTCCTGTTAGATCGCGCTAACAAAGGACTCGTAGAGTGATTCAGCAAGTGATTCAGCTTTATTTAGAAGTAACGAACAAGCACTAACTCAGTAAGAAACCAGAACAGAAAACAGTGGGAGCCTATGCTCCTTTTAAACATAACCGGGCTAATGTAGCCACGCCTATTTACAAATAACAACCAATGAGATTGCTAGAATAAAGACCAATGGGAGTCTTTCCCTCCTCGGGAATGGTATCGTTCTGATTGGTCGCTGTTACGAAGCGACCAATAGGAAGTTCGCTCAGAGGAGCCCTGGTCTGGCTCGAAGCTTAACATGGGAGTCCTATGAGGTGCTTCATGTAATCATTTCAATACATTACACTTCCCACCAAAGCGGTACCTATTTATCTACTTGCAATTTCTTGCTTTCGAACTGCTAGGTTGGCAGGAGCTGGAACCAGAGACGGGAGCTCACTCCATCATGCGGCACTCAGGTCTCGAACTGCTGAACTACCGACCTTCCAGCCTGCAGTTCAGCGTCTTAACCACTTGAGCCACCGCATCTCAAGGAGCTACTGATTGCTAAATTTATAAGCTGTGTGCCATTATTGGCAGTCCTGTGGCTTTCTGCTGTGGAGCAGATGATCACATTTGGAGATGCAAAGGTGTATGTGGCTTGGGTTTTACCCAATGGTGTCAACGGATGGATTCATATCTGGGTTCAAGTCCTTTCTGTGATGCTCCAGAACTGGCATGTTTTAATCATTCCTAAGAAGCTGAGGTCCCCACTGCTCACAGGTCATCTCAAGATTAGTCCCCTAGTCAAAAATTCAGCCCCATCTCCAAGAGGGAAGATTGGTGGTGAGGAAACCAAGCCCTCTCCATGAGAGTTATCCTTTTCCATTGGAGGAGCAGAGTATGGATGAGAAGTAATGTGGGTGTGTAGAGACAAAAGAGTGACCAAGAGAGACTCACTAAACTCCGTATAAATTTAATATATGTCATGGCACTGACCTATCCTGTAGAAAATGGCTGCTTTATGTATGGCCTTAACTGTACAGAGGAAAAGATTCAGGTGGGTCACCAGGTTGGTCTGAAGCAACAGACCAAAGTTTGACTCCAGAGGCACCTTTAAGACCACCGATGTTTAATTCTGGGTGTAAGCGTTTGTGTGCACGCTGTTGGTCTTTGTTAGTCTTAAAGGTGCCACTGCTGCTGTGAAGGAGAAATGGCTCCCTGGTTCATATGATTTCTCTGACTGGTGCAAAGATTGGTCAGTTGGGATCAGTCACAAAGATCATACCATTTGGCTTTGTCAGGGGCTGCTTTCGCTGCCTGCTGTGATATCAACTGCAGCAGGGCTCTCTGGTGAACTGGTGAGTCCACAGTTATGTGTTAGCTGTTTGCCCTTCTTGCGCTTTAGGTGTGTCTGTCCCTTGCCCCTGCAGTTAGTTACCTTCTTGTCAGAACCTTGAATTTCCCTGTTTGTTTCAAAGCAGTGCATAATGGAACCTTGCTGTGTCCTTCTGCGGCAATTAAAAAAGTGTTCCTGTTTTCTTATCATACATACAGTGTAATCCTAAGAACAGTTACAGCCTTCTAAACCCAGTGGCTTCAGCGGATTTAGAAAGGAGTACTCGTGTTTAGGATTGCGCCGTTAGTCTGTTTACAGACTTGAACGGAGGCATTTTGCTTCCCATGAGATTCCACATCCGTAAATCTGGTGTGTTTTCAGTCTAAATGTGTATCTGCTTCCTAAATAGCCTTGCAAGGAAAGTGTAATTTTCCCCCCTTGATACTCAGAAGCATTAAGAGTGGCCTCAGCAGTATGATATTTATTTCCAGCGTGGCGTTCAAAATGGTACCCCTTATATAAAAATAAATTGAAGAGAAAGCTTATGGGGCAGGGGGGAGGACGAGAATGGATCAGTGAGAGTAATTAAGTTGTAAGAAGTGGCCCATCAAATACAGTCCTGTGGCTGCATACAGGATGTTGTTCAATAAAAGGGGGCTTCATTTGCGTTAACAGTGCTCTGATTTTCATTAAATAAATGGTATTTTCTGGTATTTTGTATAAGCTCAAGATTAACTTCTATGGTTACAGGTGGATATAAATCTCTAGCTTACTTTTTGAAAAGATTGCTCACTGACAGCTTCCTCCTAAATGAAGGTCTTACTTTAAATTTCCTATCTTTAAATGTGTAGACATAGATGACAAAACATTTCTTGTAACCTCCTTGGGGAAAAAAATTCTGTTTCCATCTCTACTTTGCTTGTCAGAGCCCAGAAATGAAAAACACCCCTAATTTTGTTCCCCAACAGAATGCTTTTATCAACTAAATGTTTGGGGTATATTTAACCAATACTGATGTATGAGCCAAACCAGCCTAGAATATTAGTCAGGTAAGAGATAAGGAAGCAGGTTTCTTCACATGGAAGTTTAGATAATTTATTCCTGGGTGTTATCAGTAAGACCTGCTTCACAGGGTCGAGCAACCAGCCCTACTTACTGTCTGTATTGTTTGGCAGAAGGTTTCCTAAGTAGGTCTTATTTTTAAGGGACCTTTTTATTCGATGAACTCCCCCCCTCCCCCGGTTTTATAATATGACACTGCATAGGAAATTATTGTTGCTATTATCCCAGAAATTCCTAGCTCTGTTGAAATTCTGGGATCATTCCAAAACAGTTTATTATAGAACCCTTGCTATGAAATGGTTTTTGAGAATTTAGGTAAAGCAGAGGTTCCTTAACATTAGAGGATAATGAAGGTCTTAGACAGTGTCTATTGATTTATTCACTTTATTTATAGTTTGCCTTTCTCTGTGAGTCTCAAAGTAGACTACCCACAAGGAGATATATAATACCATATTAAATAGCAATTTTTGGAGATAAATGAGAATATCGGTTCATGCGTGTAACTTTTGTATATGAGTAAGTAGCTGTATGTTTTATACGAATGCTCCTTTGTCTACAGATTGTTATAGTGGTTTTGTTACAGGAAAACATATGCACCTTATATGTTTGGCCCTTCTTTATTTAAGATATCTGTGTCCCAGTGTATTTCTGTAGGCTCAAGGAATACTGTATTCAGGTTATGAAGGTTTTTTTTGGGGGGAGGCTTATTTGAAGCTTATTTTTTAAAAGTGTAGCTTAATGCATTGAAACTACTGTAGAATTGGTGCTCTGTGGTGCAACGCAGTTCAAGGTTTTTCACGAGGAACCTCAGAAAAGGCCATCTTGCAACTTGCTCCTGTGGATATTGTGAGGTTTGCCTGGTTGTGTTTTTGGAGGAGATTTGGGCACACTGTACCCCTTCATAGGATTGGGTGGTCCAGTTTCCATCCCAAAGAGCCTCACTCAGGAGTCGGCTACAATGAATTTAGTGGGAACTTGCTCCCAAGTGATGATGCAAAGGATTAGTGTTACCAAACATGAGTGTTGCAAAATCGGGGGAGCGGGGTGAAGAACGTTTCACATGAGAGAGAACAGGCAGAAGTGTTTTGCTTGTCCCTCTGCAGGCTGTTCTGCTGTGTTCCAGTCAGCCTCTTCCTACGTGTATCTTGCTTGTGTAAAAATGTACAAGGAGGCCATTGCATGAAGTGGTCACTCTCAGTTTTGGTTAACTGATGTAAGAAAATTATCTTTAAATTATTGAGGAGAACTGGGAAAGGAGAATGAAAAAGAGGTCTATCATTAACTAAAGACAAATGGAAAAAGAGAAGGGGGGAAAACTTGGCAAGTAAAGCCGAAGGCAGCTGCTGCGGATTGTAAAGGGAGCGTGTTGTAATCAGCAAAAGTAAAGGTCAGTTTCAGTATTTTGAACCATTTGCTTTTATTTCCCAGCTGAAACATTCCCCATGGCTTGTTGTGGCTTTTGTATTGTAGTCAGTGAGGTTTGGGATGGTTTGTGTGAAAATCTAAATATTAAAGCAAGTTATGATTAGAGGCTGGCAATAACACAAGAAAAAAATATTGGGACGTTTTTATTAAAGTCAGATGTTGTGTCTCTTGTTGAAACAGAAAATGTATGTTCCCCCAGAACTGTCCTTTTGTTCGGCTTGTGCAACGGGAGTTTCTGTTTTGTAAATTTGACAGATCAGTCAGGTACTGTGTTGGGCCTGTCATGTTTTGGGGTTCAGCCACATAAAAACTTCCTTCCAGCCTGGATGGATACATGGATACGCTCAGATGGGTAAGACATCCATTAATTCTGTTAAGCTACTTTAAAAGAATGCATTAAGGTTGCTGAAAAAAATCTACAAGCTCTTTTTTAAAAAAATGCTACTGGGTATTACTTTTTGCATTAATTCATCTTGAAGCTAATACTTCCTTGTTCAGTACGTATACAGCTCCTCAATGTCTTGAATTTTGTGGAGCATGAAATACATATCTATCTATATTTTGTGTGTGTGTGTGTGTGAAATATAACAAAGTTTGAGTCCAGCGTCACCTTTAAGACCAACAAAGTTTTATTCAAGGTGTAAGCTTCCCTGTGCAAGCACACTACTTCAGATACAGAAGTATGTTTGCACACGGAAGCTTATACCCAGAATAAAACTTTGTTGATCTTAAAGGTGCCGCTGGACTCAAACTTCGATCTACTGCTTCAGACCAACAGGGCTGCCCACCTGGATATGTGAAATACATGTGTGTGCATGTGTATATGAACACACATGTAAATATAAATACATGGGAACCTCAGCACCATCTGTTATATACATCTCTGTGGGAAAGCCTGGTCTGAGTCCCAAACAACTGACTTAGAAGCAAACTTTTGAAACACAACCTGTTTGTAAGCTGGGCTATGTATATGGCTGAAGAAGAAGAAGAAGAAGAGTTGGTTTTATACCCTGCCGTTCACTAGCTGAAGGAGTCTTGGAGCGGCTTACAATCTACCTTCACTTCCTCTCCCCACAACAGACACCCTGTGAGGTCAGTGGGGCTGAGAGAGTTCTGAGAGAACTGTGACTGACCCAAGGTCACCCATCTGGCTTCATGTGGAGGAGGAGTGGGGAATCAAACCTTGTTAGTCTGCCACTCTTAACCAGGACCCCAAACTGATAAGAAAATATTTGGTCCACCTCTTAGGGCATTCTACCAAGATTCTCCATGTAGACTCATTTCACTGGGGCCGACAGAGAAATCCTGGTCTGGGGGGTCTGTGAAGAAATGTGTGGTTCATCTGAAGCTGTGAAGATGTCTCCATTATAAAAGCTTTTTGTTTCAGCAGAGGCCTGGATCAAAAGCTCGCAGTATGAAAACACACATGGCATGTTGCCGTAGTGTGTGTGTGTGTGTTTTTGTGTGTAGCCAATTCCCTCCTCCGTCTGCAGCCCCTAAGGCCCCCTCTGCAACAGCTTTGGGAAGTGCTCTTTGGCACTGAGGGCTGTGGGGGGTGGGGGACTTGAGCAGAGGTGCCCAGGACTTACTTCCCTGTTGGGATCTTTCGATCCAAGCCCATAATGCCAAACTACTAGGTAACACTGCCAAATATCCCCAAATGATTTATATCCCAGATAATATAGTAAAGGTTTTTTGGGGGGAGTGCTAAGATCAGATGCTATTACAATAATATAGTGTCTTGTTAAAAAAAAGAAGAAAGAAAGCATTGAGCCAATGTGCAAAATGTTCTGGCTTATACAATTTTGTTTCATAATTAAAACAAACCATGTTTTCCTTCAGACAACATTCTGATTTGCACATCTCTGGAAGGAATAGAATTTAAATACCTCCTCCCTTACACTTTGGGAGAATGAAACTTCAAAACATGAAAGAATGCAATTGTGGGTTTCCTGCCTGAGCTGTACAATTGAGAACAGCGAACAAAGGTTTGTGTGATGCCCTTTATCATAAGGGTGTCCCTCATTCCAGAATATTTTGATCCTTTAGGACTGGGCTCTCTTGCAGTTTCGGATCCTTCATATATCTGTAGAGTGCAGCAGTCCTGGAGCAGTTGCAGATTGTCCTGCATCTCTAAAGCGTGAATTGGGAAGGTCTTGTTTTTGTTCTGGCATCAAACGAGGAAAGGTAGGAGGGGGTCTTGCAGGTCAAGTGGGGTTTCCATCCTTTTTACTTTTCCATCCAGTTGTGCAGATGTGCATGTGACTGATGTGGGTCGCCACGTCCCCAGCCCCATTCCTACCCGAGCCGTTGTCTTTCAGACCCGGCAGTACCTCTGCTTGGCGCTGGTGAATCTGGTTGTGAGGGCTGGAAGAAGAAATGTCCCGGGAGGGGGAGCACACGAGGGGGGGGGGAAGAGAGACATTTTGAATGATGAAATCTGAGCATGGTCTCAGAGGACCAGAGATCTCCCGCACAACTGCTCCCAAGGCAGCCTCGGATAAAGTAGGTTCTCGGTGCCGGCTGTGCTTTGCTTTCTTGCATCGGAGTCAGTTTGCTGTCTCGTAATGCGACTGTGGAAAAGATTACTTGTTTTACTCCAGTGAAATGCATTTTCTGCTGGGTCATATAATCCCTGCAGTGGGTACATCAAATGAAGGCATTCTGTTTAGATTTGAGTTTGTTCCTTATCCTCAAGGCATTGTGAGGACAGTTTCAGTACTCTTACCTTTTTTACATTTCTGTCTTGAAACGGCGTTTTCTTCGTTTCCCCACATCAGATCTGTTGCAGTATTTAACAGGAAGCCTAGAAATACAGAACTGCAAACAATCTGTATTACTGTGGTTTGATATTTCTATTCCTTCATTCCTATGAAGAATCTAGAACAGGACGGAGGGAACGCAGTCTGAATTTTGGTGCGGATCCGCGGAACCTTTCCCCATAGGATTTGCCGTTGCACTTCCTTGTTAAAACGCTGTTCTTTAAATATATATATTTTGAACTGTTGAGCGAATGTGTGTTGTGTGAAAACGAGCCTTGGTCCGAAGTTACCTTCCACTTCTGGGCTGCCCCTGTTAATTTTTGGTTTCACATTTGTTGATGTAAACCAGAAGCTGAACAAGGGGGCCGTTTTCAGGAGGGGGGGCAGCCAGGCTGGCTCTCTCCCGGGCTTTCTGCTTCCCCCCCCCCTTAAAATCTTGGCCGCCCCTGTCTTTTGTTTAGATGTTGCTTGCTTTTTAGAGTTTTACGTTACTACAGCAATTGATCTGTGCGACTAATCTTAAAAACTTTTAACAGTGCAGTGGAAACCTAAACCGAATGTATACCCTCAAGAGAGAAATCGTCTGAAAAAACTGGTCCGTTGTCATTATGACACACAGTGCTTTTTTCAACCTAAGCCCCCATCGGATAATGCTTTAAAAAAAAAAAAGGAAAAAGGAAAAAAGCAGAAATCCTGTTTGTATCCTTAACAATGCAGCAGTTCAGGACTTTTCAATAAGCATTCGGCTCTCTTCAGCGATACTCTTCACAGCTGCTATTCCCCGGGATCATATGGTATAGGCTTTATTTCTCTTTATTAGTTTGCCCTGTCAGACTCCAAACTTGTATATGTCTAAGGGGGAGTGATGAATTTGGTATAAATCACATGTATCCTACACTTGGGTTTTTCCCCCTTTGGGGTTAAAATATATATGGAGTAACAGATCTGCAGGTCAACTACATAAATAAATGTATATGTTGCTGAGGGCTTGAATTCTGACATCACCTCCTCACTGTAAGAAACTTAGCTGCTGGTTAGGTCTTTATCCTGTAAAAATCAGATGTATGTACTTAGCGTCCCTCCTAGATCTCAACAACTTCTGACCTACTGCGAGAGGGGCAGGTGGGCTTGGCTTGTTTGACTGAAATGTGGCTGGATGACTCTGATGTGGTCCCTCTGGCACCGCTCACGCCGGCTGGGTATAAAGTCCTTCACCCACCTCGAATGGAAGGATGGTGGGCTGAGGTTGGGTGGCATTTCTCTCTCCTTCACGAGGCACCTGATGCAGACAAAAGCTGGCTTTGATGGTATGTACCTTTTCTTGGGCACCAGGGACAGATTCAGTATCCTGCTGGTGTACCGTCCACCTAGCTTACCAGCAGGGTCCCTGGCTGAGATGATGGAGGTGGTGTCGGGCTTGGTGCTGAGGAGGGCCTCAAGGATGATCCTCTTTGGGGATTTGGACAGACATGCCAAGGCAACCTTGTCAGGGCAAGCTCAGGACTTTGTGGCCACCGTGACAAAGACTTTTGTGGTCTGTCTCAGATTGTAATAAGTCCAACACCTGAAAAAGGACTTATGCTGAACCTTCTTTTCAGTACTGAGCAGCTTGCCTGTTATCTGATTAGGGGGATGGAGGTTTGTCATAGTCAGATGGTTATCTTCTGAAGGCATGGTTGAGCTTGCTGCCTCCTACCTGCGAGGGCAGTGGTCATGTCCAGATGGCTCCGGGAGATTCTGAGAGCCTCCCTGGTGACTCCGTGAGAGGTCTTTGTAGCTGTGCAGAATGATGGGCTGACTGGGGCCATAAACAGAATTGCTCCTTGGGGTGTTCTTCCATGATCTGTGAAGCCCCAGCTCCTTGGTTCACCAGGAGCTGAGTGCTATGGGGCAGACCAGAAGACAACTAGAGCGATGCCAGTTGAAGACTTGGGATGAAACAGAGCACATACGTCATCAAGCCCATTTACAGGCCTATGAGATGGCAGATGACAGTGAAGAAGGTTTTCTTTTCTGCCACCATCGCGCCAGCAGAATCTCATCCAGCTCAATTATTTACACAGGCTTGTGACTTGATAACACCTAAGTGTTATCCTGCCAGCGAAGAAAATGTGGACCCCAGCTGCTGCAATGTTTTTGCAAGGTTCTTTGCTGACGAAATCTCCCTCTTCCATTCTGACTTGGAGGCTGAGCTCAGGGC